ACCAAGTTACATAAAGCAACCAGCAGCTGCCATTTTAATTTCACTGGTTATCAAAAGATCACACGCATGTACAGTTCTGTGATAGGTTCTTTCTTGACCATGGAGCTAAACACAGTGATGATATTGTCCAATACATTTCTTGAGTATCAGATACTAAAAATGCAATATATATATAAAATTGCATATTTAAGACATTTCATATTATGAGTAAAATTACTTACAAGTTCTCTACTTCTGTAAACAAATTAAAATAAGTTTCTAAGAACATGCAAATGCATTATATATGCTTCCATGAAAATAAGACCTAATGAAAAAATAAGCCCTATCATGATTTGTCAGGCCTATAATATAAAATAAATACTTTCCTAATATAAGCCTTAGTTAAGATCATCAGCCAGATGAGCCCCTTATTGCCAAATGGTTAAGCATAGGTACAACATTTCAAACAAGCAGACATTATTGTGCTAAACTGGAAGATTCAGTATTGAATACGTCATGTTAGAAACAGATGTCTAGTACTTAATTTAATAATTAATTTAAAGCAGGGTTTCTTAAACTGTGGGTTGCGACCCACAGTTAAGCGACTCACAGCCAAAAAATTTTATTATAAGAATTTTACAATTACCAAATTTTTTTACACAATGTATCTGAAAATAGATAAAGATAAGACAATACAGAGAAAGAAAAAAACGAAAATGTTTCGACGCATTCCTTTTATAATATAAATGTTCATTTTCCTTGCTTTGCACGTTACGCTGTCATTTCGTCTGTTACTTATTTAAAATTTTCACATTGTTCTATGTTTTAAAATTAGAAATTAAAGTTAATGACCTAAAACTGTGATAGTATATTACAGTACAAGTGAAAAAATTGACAGTTTCACTCACACATGTGTCAGATTTGTGCTTAAGGGGTCCCACAAAATTTTTGTAAATATTATGGGGTCCTGGGGGTAGCAAAAATTTCTCAATGATAAAAGGGGGTTGTGATTGGAAAAAGTTTAAGAAACCCTGATTTAAAGGATAATAAATTTTTATGCTTAGATAAAATGAGCTCAAAAAGAAAGCTATTCCCTGGACTATAAGAAGGGATCTGTGGAAGACTCCAGGTATAAAAATCCTATAGCTTTCTGCAAAGAGAATATGTTGGATCTACGAATGGTCCAAAAATAGCGATCATACAATAACTTCAGTCAACATGTTGATGTGAGAAATGTCAAGACGCATAAGTGTGGATCATGTGGGCAACCATTACTTCCTGATTTGGAACACATCATCTGTGAATAAATTGCTGACATAAGAGTAAAGTGTTTGGCCATTCGAAGGGCTGATATTCAAGCATTTACCCTAGCAATGGCATCACAGGTAGATATCTTGCCAGAAGAATTCAAAGCATCCCACCACTGGGAAGATGGCCTCCCTCAGTGATATGAACTAGAGGAGTGCCTCTGTGATATACATTCCCTCCACTGGTTACAAATGTGCATACATTACATATATTTTTGCAGTTTGCCTCAATGGAAAGAAAGCCCCTCTAATCATCTCTATGGACATTACAGTTTGCCTCAATGGAAAGAAAGCCCCTCTAATCATCTCTATGGACAAGAAAGAGGAAATCAGTTGTGCTTCAAGTTGTAGTGATTTAGCTAAATTAAAGTTATTTGAACTCTAGAGCCTGGTAGAAGATGAAGCAACAATTCACTAAGTTCTTGCTGTGTAAGTAATAACTCAGAAGAAGGGTTACAATATCTTTTTATTTTAACTCAAATAGATGGCCTCACTAGGGCATACAGGAAGTCAACACTTATGGCTTGAACTTAATATAAAATGTAAAACTAAAGCTAAGCAGAATAATCAGCCTAAACTGCACAGAGTTGTTTAAATGCATAGTTGACACTTAGCTACAATCACCAGCATAGACTAACTGGCATGTAATAAACATGACCATACACCAGCAAGCTTTAACTCATAACAACAACGTGGTCAAAAAAGCAGAACACACTTTAACTAAAGTAGCTCAGATCTCAGCTTAAATAGTAGTTTCTTACCCTACACTGCTGCATACAGCGGAAAACTAAAAACTCATTCTGGCAGGAAAGCATACCGTATTTGATGGCATATAAGACACACTTTTTTTCCTAAATTTGGTCTAAAAAAAGTTAGCTACCTGCGTCTTATACATGAAGGACACAGGTTAACTTTCAATACTGAATGCTATTTTTACCCAGGATAAAGGTCTAGACACACATAACTTTTTCTACATCTGCCATAATTATTTTGCGCATGCGTGAAATATCTGTCGCCAAAAAGCGCCAAAGCTTGAAGCTGATGTCGAAGTTCGAACAGGTTCGACGGTCACATTATGTCTATGGAACCTTTCCTTCTTTACATAGACTTTCTTTGACTCAGCCGACACACGTGTCGGTATCGGTGCTACTCTGTATAAACGTGTCGGTATCGGTGCTTAAAACTATTTGTTTTAAAAAAATACCCTGCAAAATATGACTACAGGAAACAAGAGATTAAGCTATACAATTCAGTATAAACTAGGAGTGTTAAACTATGCCAAAGCGCATGGAAACAGAGCAGCAGCAAGGCATTTCGACCCACCACCTACCGAAAAAACGATACGTACTTGGCGACTGCAGAAAGATCAACTGAAGACTGCTAAAAAACAAACTTCCATGTCCAGCTCCATCTTGGCCTGAACTTGAAAATGCCATAAAAATGTAGGTGATAGATAAGAGGAAATCTGGGATAAGTGTTTCAACTAAAATGATAATCAATGAGGCCAAAGAATTTGCAGAAAAACATGGGAATCAGAACTTTTCAGGGTCTGAGGGCTGGTGCTACAGGTTCATGAAAAGGCAAGGCTTATCAATGCACACAAAAACAACTATTGCACAGAAAATGCCAGCAGATTATGAAGGAAAAAACTAGCATTCCACAGGTTTGTTATTAAATGCACACAAGAAAACTTCTTTTAAGCTCTTTCAAATAGGAAATATGGATGAAATTCCACTCACATTTGATGTACCATCCAACAAGACTGTGAGTATTAAAGGATCTAAATCAATAACCATAAAAACCACAGGTTTTTATGACAGAAGATGACACATTATTCAAAGAAGGTGATACTAGCGATGACGGAAACAGTAGTGATGACGATATTCTCGTTTTCGATGATGATGATAGTGAAAAGAATTTTTATGGTTTTGAAAGTGATTTAAGTCTAATTTCATGATAGGCAAGGTTTTCCTTGAATCTGTGTTTTTTATTGTTTCTGCTTTATTTTGTATTATGTTTGATTGCTTGCCATTCATTCATTTATTCATTATTTAAATTTACATATCATGTTCAAAATAGCTTGCCGTTTGTTAATTTTCCTTAATAAAATATGATAGGTAATTGCATTCAATGATTGTTTATTTGGCTTTTACGAAACGTGAGAACTAAAAGAAACCACATTTTAAGTTATTGGGGTACCGTGCTCTCGCGCAGACTATTGAAACTTTTTTTCCTTGTGTGTGGTCTTCTAAATAAGGGTGCATCTTATATGCCGTCAAATACGGTAGTTAGGAAACTAAGGAAGTAAAGGAAAGCTGTTTCTAAAATAAAAATAACTTTTAAAAACATAAAACAAGACCTTACAAAGCATTTATGCTCTTGAGACTGAAAAAAACATGGTGCATACAAGGAGCAATAACGAAGTGCATCAATCTATCTTGACCATTTGTTTTTGCGAGATGGCCAATAAGGTATGCTAGTGTGGGATTCTGCCAGCACTCACTGCGCTAAAAAGCATGAAGAACTTTTTTGCAGAAAGAAAAATTGATTAAATAATGATTCCCACAGGAATGACTGAATGTCTCTGAACTCTTGATATTGCGATAAACAAGCCATTTGAAGACTATTTTCACATGGAAATCAATGACTACATTGAAAACAGAATAGAGAGAAATCAACAAGGAAACTTAGTGAAGCCTAAGCTATATAAGTAGTCATTACTTTGGTGAAGAATGCATGGGATAAAATAATGTACAGCTGAGTTGTCAGTGTCCTATAAGCAGGATTACATAGACAAGAAGAGCCAATTTCAGGAGTGTTCTACTGCTCAACATGAAAGGCTAGGGCCAATGCTCTTGTAAAAAAATTCAGGCTAGAATTTATGATTTGGAGCTTTATGTCAATGTTTCAGAAGATGATATGGCTATATTAGAATAAAAAATTTTGTGTATTTTTGAATGTTTCTTGAATTTCAATAAATGTATTTCTTGAACCTGAGTAAAAGTGTTTCTTGAACATGAGCAAATTTAATTATTGTGTATGCAAACTAGACAGCCCCTAAAAATAAGCCCTAGCATGCCTTTTGCAACAAAAATTAATATAGGACTGAGTCTTATTTTTGGTAAAACACAGTATCTACTACTTGCTTAAAAGGTTTACTTAATAAGTTCACTCAAGTCTTTCCATTCTAAAACTTCTCAGCATTTGCCAATTAAAGGGTAAATACACTGTCTTTAAACATACACTCTCTTAAAATGCATTTCTTCAGTTATAAATCATAAACCAATGACATGAAAATTATCTTCTTGTATTATACTTCGTTCTATATTATAGATTCTATACTACTATGCTGAAGGCATATGCTGCTGTCTAGATATAGCTTATTTTGTTCTTTGAGTCATATCTAGGCTTAACTGCCTATTGCAAATTCAGAATATTCTTAATACCATATCATGTGCATACAGTTTTCAGATCAATTTCCCAGTTTGTTTAAAAGATGCTGAGTTGCTCACTCTGATTTTAATTATTCAGCAGTGCTGAGCCCTTACTATTTTAAAAACACAGTGCATATGAAAAACCATACGAATTATAAAACAATTATGTGCGTCTCCAAAAGAAAATATGGGATACATACTTTTTAGCTCTACAGAAACGCAACATATTTAAAAAAAAAAAATTATAACTTAACGAGTAAGAAATAAACTTTTTGATTACTTCTAGGCTAGGTCCAGTGAAATAAACAACATTTTCTGGTCCTTCATAAGTAGGTTCCGGAAATAAAAGAAGATGAACTGCAAAACATATGCAATATAAAAATAATTAGATGAATGATATAAATGGTTTTCCCTGTAATACAAATTTTAATGAAAGAAAAACAAATTAGCTCTTGTTCAAATGTAATCAACAGCAGAATTTCTTATGACAGTCAAATTGTTTGTACTTCATTTGTCATCCTGTATAGGAGTAAAAAACTTTTATACAGGATTTAGATGTATTTATGTTCATTCTCCTTATGTAACATAATTTTCAGTTATATGTACAACTGTACAAGAACAACGATTCTGAGACAAAGCATAAGTAAGGTGACACATGATTGATATATAGCTACAGTACGCACCACTTATTAAGCTCACTTGTTAACAAATCAGATGCTTATTACATTCAAGTTTTCAGGAACTAAAATAAATGTACGCTAAAAGAAAAACATTGTTTATTAAACTCATTTTGCTTATAAAACTAAAACTGGCAAAAGACGAATTCTTCGGGACTAGAATTCATTAAGCTGAAAGGGGACCCCCTTTCAGCTTAATGAGGGCCATGGCCTGCTTAGTCGTAAAGCAAATAATTAAAATGGGTTTAACTAAAATTAAGTTCATGTAGATCAACTGATTCTGTCTCTCAAAAGGTGTTAGTTTTATGCTTTGTGGTCCTTGTAAAACAATGTTTGGAAAGTTCTGTGTCCAAACTGAAGCTGAGAGTGACAGAATTTCCTTACCTTAAGGTTAACAAAGGCATTGTAAATGAGCCAACATTCCTCAGTATTAAAGGAAATCCAGTTTTCCTTCTTGAATGCCAGCTGACAAAGTGTTAAGGTTCAACTTCTGCATCCAACCACACTCAAAAATCTTCTTGTTGGGATACACATATAAAGATTGTAGGAAGTTCTCAGAACACTTCATGAAATGTTTCCTTACATTAATGTACATTGCTTCCCTTGGAATGGAAAAACAAGTATTTGCTGTAAGCTGAACTAGAAGTAAAGAAAGCATTGCTTATGCCTGTAACCATAAAGTGAGAGATCAACTTAAAGGTACAATCTTTCTGGTCAAATATATGAATTTTGAATTTTAACATATCACTAGAAGAACCATTCTTTAATTTGCTGTGTGCATAACTTGCAATATGTTGAAAATACTTAAACAAAAATATTTAAGCCTGCAAGAAAAGGATAAATTGTTAAAAGGCTATGATATTCTGGGTAAGTCCAACCAACAAGAAGCTGCATTTAAAGCAAGAATTTACCAAACAGCACTGCACTTTCTTTAAATCAAGACCTATAACTGAAAAAGAGTTAGTAAAAATATGCAAATGTATCAAGGAAGTGCAAAAGGGGTGCAAAATGGAGAGATGTTGAAAGTGCTCTTCTAGAATAGTTTCAAGCTATGAGATTAAAATATGTTCTTATTTCTACAGCTCTTTTGACCACAAAAGTTGTGGAATTCAGTAAAATGGAAGAAATTTCTACCAACTAATGGATGGTTGATACAGCAGAACTAGAGAAATAACACTGCTCTTTGGAAACTGTATGTTGAGGAAAAAAGAGACAGCATGGCTTCAAATGCCATGACGAGTAGTTGCTAATCAACTGTGAGATTTAACAGTTCAAAGGGTGTTTAGGTGAATTGTGATTCAGGGTTTACTGTGATGATTTTGAGTGATTTTGAGAAGTGATGATATTTCTCATGATCTAAGGAGGAATTTGTTAATATCTACATTCTCTTTGTGCTATTTGCAGTTATTTATTGCACACAACAGAGATATCAATAAACTCATAGTTATTAAGCAACATTTTCACCATGTCGCTGATAACCGGATAAAAGATATTTTTCCTGGGCTGTTAAAGAAATAAAAGCTTCTGGAATGTAAAATACAGGCAAAAGTGACCTGTTTTACAGACCAATGCCAGAACATACATTAATGTTTAAAAGTGAAACAGCAGTTAAGGTTTTTAAGAAACTGATGGAACAATTTACTTTGGTACTAACATATGAATGTGACTATTAAAAAGACACCACTGTTTATGGAAAAAGCAGAAAACTTTAATGTTGAACAAGAATCAAGGATGTACCTCTAACTTATCTTAACAAGAACATGTGGATAGCAAGCAGTATTTTTGCTGATTTTTCTTTAAAATGAAATGACAACAACAACAAAAAATGCGAAAGAAAGGAAAAGGGGAAAAAACGAAAAAGAAAGCTTAATTACATTGGAACCTCGAGATATAAGCACCTCTATATACGATGAAAGTATGAGCAAAAAAAATTTTCTCTAAATGCGAGCATTGACTTGAGTAATGAGCAATGAGAAAAGCTGTTGGTATGCATGGAGCTATTTCCGATTCTGCTCAACTCGGGGAATCCCCTCACCAGATCACTCAATGTTCTTTGATCTACGTGTTTGTACGCTTGTGAGTCAATTTTTTTTTTACATTTAACATGAAAATAATTATTTTGTGATGTCTCTCCCAAGAAGATTGTTGCCTCAGTGCTGGAAAAAAAAAAAAAAAAAAGAGAAGAAAGGCATGTCTGTTGAAATTAAGAAGGAAGTCATAGATAAACAAGAGTGGCGTAAGTGTGACGAAATTGGGGAAGCCTTATGACCTTTCGACATCAACGATTTGCACTATTCTGAAGAAGCAGGAAGAAATTAAGAAACGATGTAGCCAAAGGAGTTACTGTTTATTCCAAGCACCATCCAAAACTCCTAGAAGATCTTGAGAAGCTGTTGTTGGTGTGGATTAACGAGAAGCAGTTAAAAGGTCGTGTTGGAAGCTATCATATATGTAAACTATGGTTATATTATTTACCAGTGTTATTTTTATTTATTTTTATTTATTTTATTTATTTTTTTTTTTTTTTTTTTTTTTTTTTTTTTTTTTTTTTTTTTGAAAAAATGATTTTTATGTTGATATTTTTGGGAGTGCGGAATGGATTAATTGGATTTCCATTATTTTCAATGGAGAAGTTTGTTTCTAGATACGAGAAATTCACTATATGAGCCCAATGCTGGAATGAATTACTTGTATTTTAAGGTTCCATTGTATTAAATAATTGTGTACACCCTTCTGATTTTCTTCTGAAAAATATTAAATTTGTGTTTCTTCATGAAAATAACAATTTCTATCATTTGGCCTTTATGCCAGGGTAATATAACATCTTTCAAATATCATTACAGAAAAGATGATACTCAAAAAATGATTCTTATGAAAATACAAGCACTTCAAAGGGGATAACTAATTCGAAATCTTTGGTAAAAGCTATGCATATTATAGTTATTAACTGATGAAATAACATATTATAGCTATAGTTATTAACATATTATGGTTTACAGTTAGTAACACATTATAGTTTATAGATATAACATATTATAGTTAATAAATATAATATGCATAGATTAGTTTGGTTTGTTTAATTATGGCAAAGCATGCAAGGGCTATCTGCCTAAGGAGAGGGTTGCCTCCATGGAGTACATTCTAAGAGAAACTGGCTCGTATAGATGTTACACATGGAGAAAACCATGAAAATACCCATGCAGCCTGCCCGTTCACATGAAATCAAAGTCAGGTTGAAACTACCAGTGTTCAGTGACTTTACCGCTCTGCTGCTAGTGGGCATAATATAATATGCACAGGAGATTATGCATGTTATAATTATTGCACGGGGATATGTCTTTCAAAACACAATAAAAAACTGCTTTTGAAACTGTGGTTTTTATTTAGACAAGCATCATAAAAACTGCACTGAAAATCTTCAGATTCGTAGTTCTTATCATCATGAAATCTGGTAGCTTGTTATACATAATGCCAAGTATTTTAAAAAATACCTACAGATACATTTTTTCATGATATTGCAATGCTGCACATATTAAATTTTATATTACAATATATCTAGAACTCTTGAATGGTCTTTACAGCATAACTGCTTTTCCTTGAATATTATAGTCTCTATTTCTAAACTTTTTGAAGAAAAAAAAATTTTTTTTAGTCCAAAGGGACAATTTGCCCAGAAAGGCTATTAATTTCGTTTCAGCATTTTGCGTTGATTCACTACAAGTGCTGTTTCACTTTTCAAATTGTTGCCACCAAATATTATCAAATTGTATTATATTTAAAGAAATTAAATAATAAAGAATCTGCATAAATGTATGTATGTTTCTCACATTGTGATAAAACGACGGTACCTGGTGTCATCAAATTTTGAATAACGTAATCTTCCTGCAAATATGGGTACCTGGAAGGCCAAATTTAAAATTTGGAATTTGTTTTATTATCGATTTCATATTTAGTAAATATATTTCTGATTAACAAACTCAAGGATTTCGAAGGGAGCAATGGCAATGTTGTACAGAAAAAAGATTTTTAACTCCAGCGTGCGAGACTGTGTATCAGAAATTCTAATGATATGCTCATTTTAAAATTACTTTACAATATTGCTCTTGAATTGAATTTATGGTTTAAGTGTGAAGAGCATGATATTTAATAAATAAAGGTAATTCACAAAATATTTAAAAAATGCCCCTTTGGACGTAATTTAAAATCTTAAACCTTTCAGATTTTTTTTTTTTTTTTTTTTTTCTGTTCCACAAGTTCAGAAATTATACCATTCCAGATATTGGACACGCAAAATTCAGACTTGGTATTGCATTTATAATGCTAAAAAGGTAAACTATAAATACAAAGCTTAGAATGCTTTACATTTTTATAATTTGTTATAATGTACTGAAATAAGTTGACATGCAAAAGTTTATATTCGGCATTCTGCGACAAAAGTTTAAGAGGCCTTCCCTGAAGAATCTTACTAATTATTTTACTTCGCAAAATCAAAAACTTTTTTAAGTGTGCTGAAATACTGAAATTTTAACAGGACAAAAAAAAAATCGCATTTAGTTAGAAATATGTAATATTAACAATTTATTTTCTACATTATTTAAAATCATTATTGTCATTCATAAATTTAATATATTAATTATTCATAAATTTAAAATTCCATGATTAATATTTTTCTTACTGCTCAAATATTTCTTCTCTGGAAATACTTTTCTGTCATTATGACTTTCTCTTTCAAGGAGAAGAATATGTACAATAAAAACTACATAAATCAAAACTCTGAATTTAATTTCCAATATTACCTTAACTCTCTATTTTAAGTTACTGTTTACTTTCTCTCTTATGAAAAAGTGACTGCTTATAATAAATCACACCAAACTGTATTATTTCAAAATTGGTACATCTCATATGACTCTTGCATAATGCTAATGTTACAGGCACTTCCACTACACTTCAGAAAAATAATTTCAAACTTGCAAATCAAGAATTAAGATTAACCAACATGGGTGAAGCTTAACCAATATTAAATCACTCAGACTAAGCTTTCATCTTGGACACGTCACATTTTCTCTCTCACTTCCCTCTTGTCAACCTGCTTACTCTTTACTGCTTCATTCCCTTTAATCCATCGACACTGTTATAAAGATGTAAAAGAGGCACATATATGATCAAAATTAGACACATAGATTGTGACCACTGCACAATGTAATTTCAGTTCAGAATGTGCTCCTCAAGAATAAAAAAAAATTTTAAATTGGCATGACTGACAACAGCTTTAACCCTCCAGTTGGGAATGGGTTTGACTCCGATAATCCAAAATTCTCCCAAATAACCATAAGAATAAGGTATATTTTGATTAAAATACAAAAATGCATCTTTATCTTTTAAATTCTTTAATTCTGATTTAATTTCTTGGACATATTTGAAGATCCACATATACTCTCCAAGTGGCAAGGAGCTTGATTCCAATACTCTAAATTATCATAAGAATGAAGAACTTTTTTTTGTTATTATTAAAATACAAAAATGCCCACCCCTTGTGTTTTATACTTGGTATCTTTATCTTTTAAAATTATGCTTTAATTTCTTGGACATATTTCAAGATCCACATATTTAAGCTATTATAAAATATATTCTAAGTCTTATATGCAATAAAAATAAATTTAGAAGTACTGATGTAGGAATACTGAAACGTGGAAAATGAAATACTGATGCCGAAGCACGTAAATGGCATATTGAAGAGGAAGAGGGACTCTAAACGTGCCTATTTCCATAACATTTACATTTTTTATACTGACTGTTGCGATAGGAAGAGAGCATAATCAAATAGCATCCAAGCAGCACTAAGGGTGAAGCTAAAAGTGTGCATTTATCCAATATGGAAGATCACCAAGAGGAAGGTTTTGCTTTAGGTCAGAAAGGTTTCAGTTCTCGGAAAATTTTAAGTTCCAAATTAGCTACGTCATCAGTGTTACGCAAGCCATGTAACATAGATTTATCTAGAAATGATGCAGTCCAGAAATGTTATTATTTTTTTAGAATAAAGAGAAAATAACCTAATTAAGAAAGAAGAGTTAAAAGGCCATTCCAAATAATATTATAAAGCTGATTTAACATATTTTTTTTATCTTACAAACATACACACACATACATATATATATAAGACTGCCTTGCCAGCTGGAGGCTTAATGCACCAAATTCTGTCACTCCTCAAATCATGTTCTCCATTGCAACATCAACTTCTAAGTACACACATATGTGTGGTTTTTCAATCTCCAAATTATAATAGTTCAGACATTGAATGCATATATTGACAATATAAAGAAGCAGTTGAAGTCATGACTGACATTAACATTTCTTCGTTTTCACTGGCAGACACTTTTTAGCCAATGCAGATATGGTGGCACAACTAATAGGGGGACTGGAATGTAATGTTGTTTCTGCACATGTCGACAACAACATGCTAAGGGCAGAAGTGAAAGCAAATCCATGTCAAACACTCTTAACCAACCTTGGACCATCCAAGAACATTTAAAGTAGAATGGAAAAATAAGCAAAGCAGGTGTTTCAGTCCCCCATAATCTGTCCGAAAAGAACAAAGCCAACCTATCCATCTTATGCAACGTATTGCTTCAACGGCAGCATACAGAACCGTTTTTTGATCGTTTGATAAGTGGAGACAAAAAAATAAGTCCTATATAATCCAAAGCCAGATAATCCAAAACTCAAAAGGCAGTTTTAATAGGGGTTACAAAGGGTTACATCCCGAAAAGGCGCTTCTGGGTGTTTGACGGAGTATTCGCGGAATTGTTCATTTTGAATTGCTGAAACTTGGAAAAACTGTTAATGTAGACCTTTATCATGAACAATTGGATCTAGTGAACCAATTTTTAATTGAAAAATATCTGGCGATTGTCAACAGAAAAGGTGTCATTCTGCAACACAACAATGTAAGACCGCACTATGCAAGATGAACACTGCAAAAATATAATGAATTGGGGGTGGGAGGTACTGCCTCACCCACCATATTCGCCCGATATTGCACCCTTGGATTTCCATTTATTCTGATCCCTACAACATTTTATTAGTGACAAAAAATTTGAAAATTTGGATGATGTCTAAAATGTCATCTCAAGATATTTTACTCAAAAAACCAATTGATTTTTATCGGTCTGGGATTGAAATCAGCATACTAGATGGCAAAAGGTTGCTGATAACGAGGATGATTATACTATTGATTAAAAATAAAAACTTGTTACAAATTTATTCGTTTGAATTTAATGTAAGAAAACAATATTACTTTACGGTCCCCCTATTACATTGGTATCCCATAGAAGTTTGATATATATTTGAGATAGAAGCTGTTGGTAGCAATTTGGCAGCAGCAAAGTGAAAAAGAGAATGTGATATGTCTAAGATGAAACACTGTTCAGAAAGGTTTGGTTTTGGTTCACATTTAATTTTGACTGGTTAACAAAAATTATGGTTCCCAAATTGAAATCTTATTTGTTGAAGCATTTATGCAAGTACCAGTATCACTGCCATCATGCAAGAATCATGTAATAGAGATTAATTTAAAAATAATGCAGTTTAGAATAATTTATTACATGCTGTTACTATTTTTAGGATGGAAAGGGAAAATACCCAAATTTAAAATGTAAGAATCTGATATTCTAAGGAATATGGCAAATACGTTAATAATAAATAATATGAAATAAGTTAAAATTGATTTACTTATTTTGTATCTTACATATACATCTATACACGCTCTTATTTTTATTTTACATGTAAAATTATAATAGCATAACATATATACATTAGAATATGAAGTTTAATAAATATAACATTCATCGAGATGTAAAGGTTGCATAGTTTTATATATTCATATATATATACACATAGAATATGAAAATAAAAATATATAAAATATTTACTTTGTTTATTTTTTACATGTATACAAATGGTAAATAAATTTTAGCATTATTTTGCAAAAGAAAATAACAATTGCAACATTGACACACCATTAGAAGGTCTTTGTGAGATCAAGTAAAAAATTATGATATTCTTCTACTGATGTGAAAGTTTGAAATATATTTATAGTAAACATACATTTGTAAGAGAAACAAATCATATTTTATCAAAATATATTAATCTTTAAAACTCATTTTAATTTGAGAATAATCTTACTGAGGCATAAAACTAAATAAATAACTCCGAGACGAGGATCAGCATAGAAAAAGAGAGCTATGTTTGCCAGTTTTGCATACATGCAAAAGGCTGATAGGTAAGGAATCATTTGGACTGCTCCTGAAATGATATAAAAATTAATTTCATAACTTCTCAATATGACAGTTTTATGCAAAATATAAATCCTTCACAATATAAGAGTAGGGTAAAAAATGGGGAAAATACTAAGGTCCTATCAAAAAGTTGCAAATAATTATTTTTGAAGTAATGCATTATGTCCCCAATTAGTTATGTGGCAACCAACAATGTTGCCAAAAAGTGTTCGTGTGGTAACCCAGCTAAGTGTGTAGCACACATCTATTCAAGGACCTGCAGTTTTGAAATTCAGAAGTACCCCCCCCTTCCGGCAGTTTTTTTTTTTTTTTTTTTTTTCATTCAATACATCAGTTTTTCTTATAACAAATCATAATGGGACTGTGAAGCTTCTGGCTGATGTAAAGAAAGCAATGTATATTTACAGAAATATGGTTTGCCCAATAATGAAGAAAGCGGAAATTTGCATTCTCTGTAGTTCTACTTCTTAAATGACTGAAAAATGAAAAATGCAACATGTAAAATTGCAAACAAAGTTTTAAAATGCAGGTAAAAAGCTGGTCTGAAAATAGCTATGAGTTGTTTACAACAGTTGTTCACTTTATTTATTATTAGCCAATGCGCAATAGCAAGCTTATGCATGGTGCTGAATTTGTGCACTCTCGATCCCCTCTTATGAGAACAGACTGCTATGTATATGTGCAGAACAACACAAAAAAATTACAGATGGAGTTTTTTAAAAAAGGGAGGGGGAGGGTTTTATTACCAATGTTTCTTGCTTTTTAAATTTTACTAAACGACTGCTCTTTTAGACAATTCTTAGTGCACTGCCATTTTGAAAATGGATTTGGCCTTTCGGACATTAGCTCAGCAACAAAATTAGTTGGCAGAGTTCACAAATGCTCTCCAAAGTTGCCAATGAATTTGTGGCTTTTTCATAGGGGTGTGGAGAAATCAGAAAGTAATAATTCAGAACATGAAATTTCAATGTTTAAAAATGACATGTTTCTGAATATAAAAAAAACTTAAAGGCTGGCTAAAAAAACCTTCATATCATAGATAAAGGAAGAGATAATATAGACATTATAAAGATATAAAAGTAAAAATAAACAGTTCACATGAATATCTGATGTGTAATTTAGAATTCTAAATATGCACTCATATTTTTTTTTTATTATTTAACTATTTCCCACATTTATTCATTAAATTATAAAGTAAACAAAAATATTATCTCAAAGAACACGTTATGCTTTAAAATGCACATAATGATTTTAACATCACGCAAATATTAAAACACTAGACAGCTATATTCGCTACCAAATTTAATTTCATAAATTTAGCATATCATGTCATTTTCACCTGTATCGGCATATTATGTCTTTTTTCACTTATTGCGTGAAATTGAGAATTATCCTACATTTAAATTTGTCACAAGAAATTTTGTTCTGTGTGCATTTAATTATTATCTCTTATCATGCATAGTTTGACATGTACTTGATGACTTAACAGATCTGGCTAGAGGGGGCTTACGGGATTGGAAGCAGCAAAGATTTTTTTGCTAACTGTTATATTTAAATCATCAGGATTTGCATAATTAGTACTGTAACATTGTTAGATAAAATAAACATACCAATACCTTGGCAGATATCTTTAATCCTTGAAGATTTTTTGGAACAACTTGCTTGGTTACAAAATTTTATATCGCATATGAAGTTACATTATACATGCTCTTTGAATATCAATTCTTTTGTTGCAAAAAATACAAAACTTTTTATAAGCTTTTATAATTTTTCATAAAACTTTTATAACTTTTCATTAATCCAGCAATGATGTTACAGTACACTCAAAATGTATTTTATTTTAATCCCTCTATACAAGTCACCAATTCATAATAATCGTGTTTCATCTTTTTTGCATTTCTGAATAGAATTAATTATTCAGAAATCTGGATCATATATATTTTTAATTTATTTAGCATTTAAACAAAAAAACTAAACTCAGTGGCACAAACAGCCCTCATGGGCCAAGGCCTGCAGTGCCCCGAAATCTGCTTTCTTGACCGTGGGCCCTGGAGTGCGTAAGCATATGCCCTAAACAAGTGGTCAGATTGTCGCAGGACCCCCAGTGTTTAGTCCCCAAGCACACTTGGTACTCATTTTATCGACCCAAGGGATGAAAGGCTGAGTCGACCTTGCGCTAGCCACTGCGCCACCAGGCCTCTTTATTTAGCATTTATTAAATTCCAAATTCTATTCTAATTAATTACAAATTACAGTTTCTGATTTCCCCAATAGTACACCTTTACTATCTAAATTTTTCTTCACATTTTCAAGGAGATAATCTAATATTTTATATATTCTTTATTAAAATGAAATTTTTAATCTTGGCAGCATTTGCACAAGATTTTATGGAAGTCTACTACTTATGGAAGTTTAGGTCCCTCTTGGTGAAGAAGTTAAGTTCGGGGTGGCCATATTTCAGAGATTGCTTTTAATATGTTATCAAATGTATTTAGCCATCCTAATATCTTTATCCACATAAATTCTGCTAGGATTGAAGATAATGGTGAGCAATGAATCTTTGTTTTTTGGTTTTGCCACTTCACAGAACCCCAAAATCTCTCAATATTTGATGTGTGTACACCTGAAGTCGGATCCATTTCATATGATAATAACCTGCTTTTTCAAGATCCTCAGTTCAGCACACCAACAGTCTCAATAAATTATGGATCCTTCCTCTACATATTCGACTGTTTTTGCCATCAGTGTGATTGCTTCTCTATTCACTACATGAACTATAAACATTTACAAGCTTCACAGCATATCCTGCCAAATATCCACTGCTGGGGTAAAATCCTCCCTTCATTGTTTTTAAGCAGAATGAACAAGTTTTCATAGATTTCAACTATTCTCTCATAAGTTTTCAAAAAATATTTTGTGGAAGTTTTCTCATTTTTAATGAAATAGAAATAGTGTCCAAAACAGATACCAGCACAAAGCGAAATGCGACCAATCTCTTTTTTTATGTGCATGTGTTATTAACTCTACCCAACTATAAATTCACCTTGAAAAAGTAACATGTGTCTGCCATCCAACTGATATTCTAGACTGTGCTCTTAGGGACAAAAAGTTTGAGAACCTCTGATGTAGAGTTTCATTTTGTGACCATTTTTCAGGTTCAATTACGAGGCAAAATACCTCTTTCTTGAAACAAAAACTCCTTGTTAAATTGAAAATAACAAACATGGAACAGAAAATATTAATTAACATAATAAGATAAGCAATTCAAAATTCACGATAAATAACACCTGGCTCAACGAAACAACCACAATTTTAAATTCACTTTAAATAACACTTGACTCAATAAAACCACAGCAATTCAGAATTCACGATAAATAACACGTGGCTCAATGAAACCGCCAGAGTTCAAAATCAATGATTTGGCGACGGTTTTCAACTATCATCGGGGTAAGTAACGACTTTATTTTAAGTTCTTTTTAAATAAATTCCTTGACTTTAAGGTTTTTCTCCTTGTATTTCTTTGTAAATTTTATAATTATATACAGTCAAAAGTTGTTAATTCGGACACCCATAATCCGGAAAGATCTATAATCCGGACCTCAAAGCTAAAAACTTTCTGCGCATGCACCGCGTTGACACATGCGCATAGGCGTTTACGCATGCATGTAAGACCTTTACGACTGCGCATATGCGTGTGCGCAAGTGCAGAATACATTTTCGCGTGCACGTTTAATGTATAATGAACGGTATATGCTAAAATTATCTAATTATCAATTTCAGTTAATGTTGATGATTGCGTTGTTCCTTAATCTTCGAACTGGATCCGGTTTATTATTTTTTTTCAGACTGTAAGAGCAATTTTATAAAAGTAAACTTGAACTTTGATTATGTCAAATAGAATTTCCGATGCTGGAGCTCCCAAAGGATCTACAAAGCGAAAGTATGCTTCGATGTCCATCAAACAAAAAGTGGAATTGCTGCAAAAAATGGATAAAGACATGAAGAAGGTGACAGAGAGGTTAGTGAAAACGAAAAAATTTCGATTAACAAGTTAGTCAGCATTCTCGGTACAGCAATTACGGGACTTGAACAGCAGAACTTTATAACTGAACAAGAAATTATGTCTGTTTATAGAATTAAAGAGAAAGTATTATCACATAAAACGAAGCAACTTAAACAACTTACATTGAAAGAAATGTTTAATAAAGTAAACAAATAAATATTAAGCTTTTTTTTTGTAAATTTTGATACCCTTTAGATCATAATTGTTCTTTATTTCATAAATTATGGTTTCATATTTTTAATTTTAGAATTTCCGCATGCCATCTTACGAGATTTTAACTGATGATCTATAATCCGGAAAAATCGATAATATGGAATCGCCGAAGTCCCGACGAGTCCGGATTAACGACTTTTGACTGTATATGTAATATTTGCAGAAGATCGGTATTGAAAAATGATTAAGCTTAGTAATCTGGTCACATCAGATTCCATGTGTGGTCATTGCATGATGGGAAGACATCCAAATTGAAGACACAGAAGAATTAGATTTTAAAACTCCATAGCTTTATTCACTTAAAATGGCAGATCATTATTCTTTTAGATTTTCCAAGATTCATATGCAATAGTAATTTAGACTAAATGCGATTAACTTTAAATTTACTGCATCATACTATTCAAACAAAGACAGACGGGAAGAGCGGCAGCAAAACGGTTTTACAGCGGCACAGCAGAGAAAAGCAATCTGACGAAAAATGGTGCGAACTCTTCATTTATAGCAGCGTTTATGTAACATGCCAGAATGTTCTCGAAAGTACTGGTCTAGGGATAAGATCCTGAAATTGTGCAAAGTTAATTAGAGGTTGCCTGTTTGCACAAAGCAAAGCTATCATATTTTTTATATTTTACATATATATGTAATGATTTAAAAAATGCGTAGATGAAAGGCACTGGAAATTTAATAGCTTACGATACTGCATAGATGGCCGAGAAGACCGCAGTGGCTTGAAGGTGGCAGAGTGGACAGCATTATGATGCAATTTAGCACAACGTATCTTGAAAAATCACAATTTTTATTTTTTTATGCATATCAAATCATCCTTTTTCATACAAGATGTTTCCTAATTATATTTGAATACAGTAAGTTGCATTTTGAAGTACGACATCGTTTTAAGCAAGTAAGCGGCAGCAGCATACATAAAAAGCATCTTGCCGGCACGAGAGCTTACGCGGAAAAGGGGAGAGTATGATAGAACTTCAGAGGAAGAAGGATGGGAGTCGGAAAAGTTTCAGTTCAGAGTTTTGGTTTACGATTAATTTGATTGGACAAGAGCCATCTGCATTAAAATGTTACGTAAGACAGAAAAATCTGGAACCTATGAAGAGAGATGAATTTAGGGGCAGATCGCCAAATTTAGAATGTTAATTTTGAGGTCTCCAATTATTTTTTTGAAAAAGCTATCATATTTTGTTATATCTTAAATATATATGCAAAGGTGTGCGCATATAAATTATACAAAATTTTGCAGATAGAATAAAAAGAAATAAAATATATACTGCTATTTTACATTTCAATTTTATAATTCAAATACAATCCTAACTATAAATTCCTAAAAACAAAATTAATTGGAGAAGGAAGTAATCTTTGAAGGTATTTTAAGGGAAAAAAATTGTGCTATTATATTAAAAACAATGAAGTTATTTTATAACATTCTAAATATCACAGTTTTCAAATGTTTAAAAAATATATAAAAAATATTTTATTTCATGTGAAATCAACTTACCTCGCTTTTTTGTTCGCAATAAAACAATGACAGCTAAAAATATTAATATTTCTGTTTCTTTCTAAAAATGAAAAGGAAAATTATTAAAAGTTATGTCAACAAAAAAAGTATCAATTTGCCATGTCTTTGTTTGTCACATTTAATGTTGCCATACTCTAATTTGATAATTCATCTTTACTCTTTTGTCTTCTATTGCCAGTAAAACATTAGCTCAGAGAAGTATTTTGAATTATCTTCAACATTTTGAATGTTTTATAAAATTTTGGCTTAAAGAACAAGCTGGTATTTATGTATTTTCCCATAAGCCATAAAGTTTGTGAAGATCATGGCATAATTGTGCCAACCATATGGTAGAAGTTTTGTAGAAACAGATAATTCTTTATTCAGTCAGATAATAACAGGACATTCTTTATTTAAATAGATAAGTAAAAGATACATGTTACGGATGCAGCTTATAAGGAATTCCAATAAATATGTGCTCAAGCTTTGAGATTATTTGACAAATTTCTTAAAAGTACTACCAATCAGTCTGTAAGCAAAAACCCCTAATGAAGTTTACAATAGAGACAAAATAGTCACTTTCTTGGTGAACTTGGCCACATATAAATTTATTTTAATATATAAGCCTAAGAGGTACCACACTGCTTCATGGTGTTTTTCATTGTGCGATTTTGTTAAAAGCCACTATCCTTCCATGTTTTGAGTAAGCACACCAGTATAATCAGTCATTTGAAAATACTCTACCAGCTTACTAGAGAAGAAAGGTCCCAAATTCTGATTATATTTTCAAAGTGCAAGAGAAAAACATGAAAATAGCTGTTAACTTACACCCTTCTTTACAAAAAACCTAAACTGACTTATTAAGAATCAAAGTTATGTAACATCAAAATTAAGATCTTGTGGTAGTTTGCCAAGAAAAATTTATTTTACCAAGTGAAAAAAGCTTTATCAGACTATACAAATAAATGCAGTAATTCAGACTAAAACTGTATTAAGAACTTAGCAAACCTGGAGCTTTCATGGATAAACTGTTTCTTATTTATTTCTATATTATTATTTTATTTCTTTATTTTGGCATTTAAACTGTATCAGCCAATTAATTTAAGATTAATCTCCATGAATATGTATATATGTAGGTTGGGGCAAAAGTCATGGCAACTATTTTTTTTCTTGAAGATACCAGTCCGGTTGAAAAATGTGACATATACAGACGAAAGGACAAGGTCTTAACTACATGTGTGGACAATGAATAGCACTGAAATATCGTAACACACGAATTTATTACGGTAGTATACAGGGCAATATAGCCTTCACCGTGCAAAAGAATGATAACACAATACACATAAAGTTGACATGACAAACCTGGGCCTAAAGAACTTCAATGTAGTTCCCTGCTACTGTCACCACATGCTGCCAAGGATGTGGGAGGCGCTGAATACCATCAGCCTCAGCACTTGCCGCACCATGTGTGAATCGGGTCATCTGTTGGCGCACAACATTAGCATTGCCGCACCATGTGTGAATCGGGTCATCTGTTGGCGCACAACATTAGCATTAGTTGTGCTTGGGCCGAGCATTTTCGTTGAACGCCCCATTGTCTATTCGATGAATAAGGGGAAACGATTGTGCTCTTTTCATCCCACTTTCGCTTGTGTGGGTTTGTGGTGATGGCGATAAGGAGCGCGCCTTGCGCCCTCCGATAAGTGTGGCAACCCTAGAGGAGAAGTTTCTTACGAGTAGCGAGCAGAGCGAAACAGGCAGGCTGTCGGGCAGTGTGCGCGAAGTTCCTAAATAAAGCTTAATTTTTATTGTGCACTATGTCTTGTTAATATTTATATAATGCAGTAAGAACATAATCTGTGATATGGAATTCGAGGATTGGTGGTAAAAAACATAACAGGAAATCACCATAATGGTAACCCGGACTGTGTTAAATCGTATGAACAGTTCTCAAGCACTTTCGGTTTTGACTACAAGCCATCACTCAAGATCTCCAAACCAGAAGTAATGGATTACATCGGTTTTCATCCTCCGAATCACAGATGAGTAGTAATTATAGATCATTTTATAATTCTGTTTTCTACTTATCATTTAATTTCATTTTCTTTAGTTAAATTTTTGCTTTTATTTTGGCTTAAAAACCTTGCACAATGTCTGATGTTCATGCCGTCCAAATTCCGGTTTATAACCGATCAGACCCATCTTTATGGTTTATTATGTGTGAAAGTACCTTTGCTCTTGCCACCCCCAAACCTATCACAGAATCCATTACTAAATATAATTATGTAGTTGCTCATCTTCCTCCAGATATTGCATCACTAGTACGGGATTTACTTATGAAACCAGACCCTATTGATCCATATGCAAAGCTTAAAACTGAGTTAATAAATCGTTCAGGAGAATCTTCTCAGCAAGAAATTCGCCAATTATTATCTGGAGAAGAATTAGGTTCTCGAAAACCTTCCGATTTGCTTAGAAATATGAAACGTCGAGCAGAATCTTTAAATGTTCCTGATAACTTAATGTTAGAATTATTCCTTCAACGTTTGCCTTCGACTGTTCAGTCTATTTTGGCAGCGGTTTCCAATTTAACTGTAGATAAAGCTGCAGAAATTGCCGACAGAATTTTAGAAGTAAATCCAACCCCAGGGACTTGTGCCGTTTCTCGCACAGTCGATCAGTCTCTTGAGGATAAATTATTTAAACAAATAGAAAAATTAAACAAACGTATTGATCGCATTTCTCTTTCTCTCGTGGTCGCTCGCCAAATCGCGGAGATCGCAATAAGGAAAGAAGCAATTCCAAAAGGAGAGATTATTCTGTTTGCTGGTATCATAGACGTTTTGGGAAAAAGTGTAGAGATGACAAATGTACAAAACCTTGTTCATGGCAGGGAAACGAAACCAGCAAAGAATAGAGGCGACTTATTCTTTGCCTCAAGTTTCACGTCGCCTGTTCGTTCGTGACCGTAGAACAAACCTTTCATTCTTGGTCGATACCGGCTCTGACGTGTCCTTACTTCCAGCAAATAATTCTCAAAAACGGAATTCGTCCCAACAAACACTTTTCGCTGCTAATTCTTCTACTATTCATGTTTATGGTCAAAAAAACACTTTCTTTGGATTTCAAATTAAGACGACAGTTTACATGGACTTTTCTTATAGCAAATGTTAGTACACCCATTCTTGGAGCAGATTTTCTCCATTTCTTTGAATTGGTGCCTGATCTCAGAAACAAATGTCTCAAAGATTTAAAAACGCATTTTAAAACCGTCGGTTGCGTGAAAAATGCAAGCATTTATTCAGTAAAAACTGTATTTAGTGATACACCATATCACAAAATTTTAAAAGAATTTCCTTCAGTTACTAGATTACCAGATCCTAACCAACCTGTTAAACACATAACACCGTTCATTATATCATAACTAAAGGTCCACCTGTGGTTGCAAAACCTCGTCGGTTAGCTCCAGATCGCTTAAAAATAGCAAAACAAGAATTTCAAACTATGATGCAATTGGGGCATTTGAGACCTTCGAGCAGCAATTATGCATCCCCACTTCACATGGTTCCAAAAAAGGGAAGTCTGGAATGGAGACCTGTAGGAGATTATCGAGCATTGAACGCTCAAACAATAAAAGACAAATACCCTATTCCATGCTTTAGCCGATTTTACTGCTGCATTGCACGGTACTAAAATTTTTAGTCATGTCGACCTGATTAAGGCATACCATCAAATACCAATTAACCCAGCCGACATCCACAAAACCGCCATATGCACACCATTCGGTTTATTCGAAAGTACCCGTATGCAATTCGGCTTATGCAATGCATCTGCGACTTTTCAACGTTTTATAGATGAAGTCACGCGGGATTTAGAAGGCGTTTACGCTTTTGTCGATGACTTGCTCATAGCCTCTAAAGATTCTGAGGAACATTGCAGGCATTTGAAAGCTTTATTTTCCAAACTTCAGGAATATGGACTTTGCATAAATGTTTCAAAATGCACCTTTGGTCAAACATCTATTGATTTCTTAGGTTTTCACCTTAGTGAAAACGGAATTGAACCTCTTCCTGACAAAGTCAAATGTATTTTAGATTTTCCTCAACCTACCACTCTCACTCAGCTTCGCCGATTTTTAGGCATGTTTAACTTTTATAGATGTTTCATACCTAAAGCAGCACATATTCTTTCTCCTTTAATAAAATTGTTAGAAGGCTATATTAATAAAAAGAAATCTCGTTCTCGTGTTCAGGATTCATCCCCACAATTAAATTGGAACGAGAATGCTGAACAAGCCTTTATTGCTGCCAAAAATGCCATTGCTCAGGCTACCCTTTTGAGACACCCTATTCCCGGAGCCCAGCTAAGCATCTGGGTAGATGCCTCAGACGTCGCAATCGGCGGCACACTTATGCAGTTGTCTCAACAAACATGGGAACCTATAGCATTTTTCTCTATGAAACTCAATAAAAGTCAACAGAAATGGTCCGCGTACGATAGGGAATTATTTTCTATTTATTCTGCAATTAAGAAATTCCGACACATGTTAGAGGGCAGAAATTTTATAATTTATACGGATCAAAAACCGTTAATATACGCTTTTAAACAGAACCCTCATAAATGTTCACCTCGACAATTGCGCCATTTAGATTTTATTTCTCAGTACTCTACTGATATTAGGCATGTGCAAGGTTCAAAAAACGTCGTTGCTGACGCTCTTTCAAGAATCGAAATTGATTCCATAACAAAATCTCCATTTTTGGATTTTAAAAAATTTTCGGAAGCTCAACGGCATGATCCGGAGGTACAAGACCTTCTCAAAAACAACACATCATCTTTGAAACTGGAATTTAAACCGTGCCAATATTCTGATGGTAATATTCTTTGTGACATATCAACAGACATTCCTCGTCCATTTGTTCCGAATTCCTTTCGCAGACCTTCCTTTAATTTTAATTTCATTTTATCTTTAATCATCTGCATAATCTGTCACATCCAGGAATTGCAGCTACTACGAAGCTTATTTGTTCTCGTTATGTATGGCCCGATATGAAACGTCAT